CCCCCCGCCCGCCGCCCCTATTCAGGCCTGTCCTTCCGCCACAAGAGCCTCGCGCTCGCCTGCCTCGCAACCGAGCCGCCCGGCGGCCAGACCGACGAGGACGTGCTCTTCAGCCGCTGCGTTGAGCAGGGCATCGGGCGCGCACCGCAGAGCGGCATGCACCTCGCCGAGTTCTGCACCCAGAAGAACTTCCTAGCGAGGTCCCTGGGCGCGCACATGACGTTCAATGAGAAGTTCAACGTGACGGCACTGGGGGATTTTTTGGAGTACTGCCCCGAGGCGCGGCCGCTGCGGGACTGGGACAAGGGGGCGGCCGCGGCGGCGCCGGCGCGGGCGCGGGCGCGGGCGCGGGCGCGGGCGCTCCTGCAATTGTAGCAGGGCGCGCCCGCACGCCGGCGCGCACGTGTGGGGCAAGGGCAGGGCGCGCGGCGGCGCTGCAACTGGGGGTTTCGCGCTTTTGTGCGCGGCGGCGGCGAGCATCTCTGGAGCAGGTCGGTGTCAGCCTGCTTATCTGAGGTTGCACGCGCCCCTGCTGCCCTGCAGTCGAGGCATGGTCTGCATCAAGTGTACTGCGCTTCCAGATTTAGTTGCAATCACCTCCGCTCAGCCCAATGGTCTGACGGTAACATGTCCACCAAGATAGCAAGCACGACGCTGACCCTGACCCTGCATCATCCTCCAAAGATCAGACCTGGGCATGTGTTGCTCCAGGACGATGGCAATGCAGCGGTTGGCAGCTGTCGGGTCGTGCTGAAGGGGTGCGGCCTATGCAGGTGCCTTGCATTGCCAGGGCTGATCAACTGCCCTCCCCTCACGGTCATTGCTGCCCCGACACCCCAAAGCCTCAAGCCATGTTGAATGCCCTGTGCACTGGCTGCCCTTCCACCTATTGGTCGGTTGTTTCAGTTGGCATGCATCAGATTCGCAGCGGTGTGGTGGTGTGTATTACAACACTCGAGGGCCGTGGTATGGTGACTGGTGACTGTTTGGAAGCTCGCAGAAGCGGTGCGTTGAAACCATCCAGGGATGTGCGTGTGTTTGTGCGGGCACGGTAAGGCCGCAAGCAGACGAGAGGGGGGTGCGGCTGCGCATCAGCGCTGCCCCAGCGGCCGCCAAAGTGCAGGCGGCGCTCAAACGGTGGATATGAAGTGGAGGATGCAATGACTTATGATAGCCCGGGGGGGCAGCTGGGGGGTCGTGTTCGTGCATTGGCTAATCGCGGGGTGATTTCTCGCCTGGCAAACTCTGTTTGGAGGCGCGCTCGATGAGGCCACCCGCGCAGCCCGCTCGTGCCGCCCGGCGTTTGCCTCTGTGCGCGGCGCGAAAATCCCTCCGAATCAAGGCCCGCGCGAGGTTTTCGTCTTGGGGGTGCTCGGCGCGCGGCCGCGGCGGTTTAGACGCCCGTGCTGGAGGGCACCAGAGGCACGGTGGGCAGGACGAAGATGGTCGAGGCGCCAGCGAAGAGGGTGAGGCCGCGGGTGGTGGCGGTGGCGTTGGGGTTGGCGGAGCCCTGGACCAGCAGGTCCTGGCCGGGGGCGCTGAGGGTGATGTTGGTGTTGGTGAGGCTGGTGGAGTAGGCGGGGCCCAGCAGGCCGAGCTTCACGCCGCCAAAGGTGTTAGACCAGCTGAGGCCGCCGCCGAAGCTGGAGGGCACCTTGGAGGCCCAGTTCGAGTTGGGGGTCACGGCGTACTGCGGGGAGCGAGGACGGCGAGTGGGCAGGGGCGGGTTTGTCAGGCTTTTCAGCCGCGCGAGTCAGGGTATCCGATCCCGCCGGCAGACCGTGCTGTGGGGGCTGCAGCGCTTGCACACACGATGTTTGCCGCGTGCGGAGCACATATTCTAGGTAATCATTGCAGCAGCGACGAGGGCAGCAGGCGGCAGCGACGCGGCTCCCACCTTCAGGAGCGCCTGCTGCTGGTTCTTGGCGTTGCTGCCCTTGGTGATGACCTCGAGGCTCGTGATCGGGCCCAGGCCAGTGGTCGCAAGGGTGTTCCAGGCGGCGTCGGTGGACGCAAACAGGCTGATCGCGGTGGTCGCGACATCAAACCCAGAGGCCTTGGGGGCGGCGTTGACCCACCTGCAGGGGTGAGGACGCGCGGGCAGGGGGTGGGGCAATGAGGGCAATGATGCATGCAGGTCGACGGGTGGACTAGCATCGGAGGTTGCTGAGGAAGATGGAAATGGCAAGCAGGTCAGGCGTGCTCGCGGCACTGACTGCAATGTTTTGGTTTCTTCGCGTCGCTTTTTTCTCACTTGCTCAGGAACTTGGCAAAGGTGATGCCGGGGAAGGCGGTGGTGACCTTCTTGTTAGAGAAGGCGGCCAGGGCTTTCTTGGTGGTGTAGTACGTGTTCGGGGGGATCAGCACCTGCCAGAGTTTTTGGGGGGGTGGGGGTGGGGGAGGAGGAGAGGCACACGAGGGTGAGGATGGGCGGGGAGGAGCGCCCCTCCGGAGGGGCGCAAGGCGACGCCCGCGCGGCGCGCGACGCAGCTGCCGCCATGCACAGGCCCTGCCACGCGCGCATACCTTGTTAATCGCATGGATGACGGCCACAGGGGTGCCGCCCACGCCGGCGCCCGCGGGGATCTTGTTGATCGCGGCGTTGAGGTAGGTGGAGGTGGCCTTGTTGCCGCCGTCCAACGGGGACACGAGGTTGGTGATGCCGCTGAGCGAGAGCGAGTTGATGTTCCTGAGGCCGATCGACAGCTGGGCCGCAGGCGTGCCAGGGACGTCGACGAGGGAAGTGTTGAACACGGCGGCGGGGGCGGTCTTGGTGATGAGGTCAAACTCGCTGCGGTCGCATCGAAAAGGCGGAAGCGCGCGGGGGAGTGTGAGTCGCACATCTACTCAGTCAAAGCTGCCCGAAATAACTCGTTCGGCACAGCAACACTAGAGACCCCGCTGCGTGCGTGCGAATCTTGGCCTCCGATTGGCGGTATATCGCTGCCCCCAAACCCGCGATTCAGTCGAGCCGCCGAAAGGACTAACGGCAGTGGCCAGTGCCCGTAGTCAGGGGCGGGCGCGCGCAGTTGCACGCACCTGCCGAAGATGACGGCCGGGCCCGCCAGCTGGTGGAAGGAGAAGACGCGCTGGATGAAGGGCAGCAGCTGCGTGTTGCTGGTGATGAAAGCCGTGGGGTTCTTGGCGCAGGACCCCTTGCAGCCCAGCTGGCCCAAGAAGGAGAGGATGGCCTTGTTGGTCGGGCAGAACTGCGAGAGGACAACGGCAGTGGCGAGTCAAGGGAAGAGACCATCAAGAATGCAGTCTTGGGGTAGACACTGCAGTGCACCAGCGCGGTGTTGCAGGGGGCCGACGAGGCCGCGGCTGAGAGCGTGTCTGGCTCGACGCGGCTGCGAGGCGGCCAGCCGCGCACCGCGAGCTGCCGTGGGCGGTAGCGGTGGGAGCTGCGACTCACCCCGGTGCCGCGGATGCCGCCGAAGCCGCCGGTGGAGGCCTGGGTTGTGTTGATGAGCGTGACGCAGAGATCGATGTTGAGCTGGGCCGAGCTCAGAAGCTTGATCTCAGTGATGGCCTGCGCAGAGGCAGCTGTGGTCAAGGGGGGGGGACGACAGGGGAAGGGGTGTGAGAGCAGGCGCATGAGGCTGTTGCTCTACCGTCAGCTAGTGGCGCATGTGGCGACCCCTCCCAGGATGCATGAGCTGCTGCGGGTCAATCCCGTCGTAAGACATATGCGTGCGCTGATGGTGTTTCAGCCGCAAGGCGCTCCGCAGGTCGGAAAGTCAGCGCCACAGCCGGCCACCCGGACGCACTGGCGGGGCTGGCCGGGCTGCAGCTTTGCTACAACCTCGCTCCTCCCGGCTGCCCATGCATCCGAATTGTATGCGCACCGGTTGACAGCGCCAAGAAAGCCAGAGCGAACATGCCTAAGCGAGCCATATTGAAGTAGACGTTCCCCGTTGACGTTGTCTGTCACTGCAACGTGGTTTGATGGCTCGATAACGTTTGGGCCAAACATTCGTTTGTAAAGAAGTATTGCAAGGCTTACCCTTGAACGGAGTGGCTGGTGAGGCTGCGGGAAGACTGTGGCTCACTGGTTACCGCAGTGACAGAGAATCCTCGACAACCGCTCCTGGCAAGGTGCATGGCCCGGAAAACATGTCGGAAGTGTTATTAAATCCATGTATTATGGATTTACGGGCTCACACGCTCGGCTTCATGCGTGACCGCCAAACGGCCAGCCACGAGCTGGGCCACGGCAGTTTGAGTCGTGCCTCCTCGTTCGCGCGTGATGCAAGGCATTACCCCATTTTGGTAACATCACGATTGCTGGACCTGACCTGCCGTGCTTATTTGATTTGATGCGGATTGAGCTTGCGAAGGTCAAATGGTGATGCATGCCAACGTGACCAATGCCTCACTGCCAGAGGCCAGTTTGCAACTATTTGATACATCATCTCAGGTGCTGCGATGCCCAACTCCGTAATCTCCTGAACTCCTGCAAGCAATTGGTAGCCCCAGCTGCAGCTTTGAATTGAGCGCAGCTGTGGTCACGCCCGTTCTCGCCTTCTGCGCAGCGCACACCCACAGGCCACTGACTATTATAATACCTCAGCCCACAAGCTGTTTGGGAATTATGCGCCGCAAGGTATCTTTAACAAACCGTAACCAGCCAGCAAACGTGCAGCGCTAGTTGCACCTTTGCGCCTAGGCTGCTGCGCCGCCCCTGGCTATGCGGCCGCCGAGATCTGCGGCCCCCGACGCGTCTCTGCGCTGACCTGGCGTTTGATCTGGGACGCGCATGCAGTTCTAGCGCAACGGCACGCGTGCTTCAAGGGGACGGAGCGCCCACGACAGCGGCCACCCTGCAGCAGACACGGGCGGCGCCCGTGGCCAGTCTGCTCCGCCGCGCGTTCATGCAGCATGGCCACGATTTTGAACGACTCCGCACTCGCGCGTTTTGCCTCGTCCATGCGGCAGGCCGCGAGGGTGGCTGTTGGTCGTTTTTGGCCACATTTCGTTGGTGCCCGGCGACTCGCTGGGTGGCGGGCGGCAACGCGCCCTGCGGCTGGGAGCTGCGAGCACAGGCCACCCCTGGGCATGACGCTATGCCGGCCCCGCGCTTGGCGGCCCAGAGGCCAGCGCCGCCCCTCTGAGCAGCGCGGCGTTGAGCGCCAGCTCCAAATAATATGATAAGTTGGCATGACTCACAAAGCATCACGCACACACGCATGCGCTCACTCCGTGCACTCGTCCCGTAGCTCGCCGTCTGCCTGGCCTACCCGCTTCATTCCATACGAGCATATGCAACAAGCATTCACTTTGAGTATCAATTGCAATGCCCCCCGCCTGCCGTGCGGCCCGCTGCACCACAACGGCTGTCGGCTCTTCCCAATCCTCCCTCCCTCCCTCCCCTGCCC